GCTAATTCTGTTGGTACAGTCATACCCCATATCTGGTACTCAACTGCTCTGAAACTCATAGGATTTGATACTCAACACATTTTGGCCTGAAAATTTTGTTGTCTCTTTGGTACTCGGGTGCCATCTTGAACTTGTCAACTGCCTGTAACTTCCTATCTTTTCCAGCCAAAAAATTTATTTGGTACTTGTCATTTTTGGTACTCATTCAGAATCCCAGCATCAATTAATAAAGAGTAATATGGGGGAAAAAATATATATATATATATAAAATGTCCCCAACTTAGCAAACCTTTGAGTTACAAACCTTCATAGGTGTACAGTACTGTATAAGACTCACTCAACGAATCCAACTTACAAACAATTCTTCCAGGATGGGTGAAACTCATCCTTAAACTTGGAACTTAGTGTTTGTTTGTTTTGCTTTCTTTGGCTTTTGAGACAGGATCCTGCTAAATCGCTAAATTCCCCAGGCTGGGCTCAAACTTGTGATCCTCCTGTCTCAGCCTTCTAGGGTACGTGGACTGTATGTACACACAACCATGCCTACCTTGCAGTTATGATTTCTAGTAAATATATTTTCTAGTGCTACTACTGAAATGGCTTACAAACAATGAAGACCCTATAACAATGAGCATCCCTAGCACTCAGATCTTGGCTTCCGAAAGGTATTCCCCATAAGAAACGCTAAATCTTTAAAAACTGACTGATGGCATTAGGTCAAGGACACAGAATACAAAGTCAATCTGGGACAGCTTGCTGTGACAAAATACAAGCAATAGGGCTGGGGGTATAGTTCAGTGGTACAGCAGATATCTAACATGCAGGAGGCCCTGGCTAATCCCCAGCCCAAACAAAAAAGCAAGGAAGAATGCGGACATGTTAAAAAGACATAAACCAGTTTAAAGAAATTTGTATTTGCCAAATGTTGGTGTCAAAACAGACTGATGGATACAAGTGTAAAATAATAAATTAAAATCCATGTGCTTAGAGTGACACAAAAAATAGGAAATAAATTTGCTCTCACTGAGATGACCACTGCACCAATTCTTTACTAAGAAACTCTATAATGAAGAGTAAATAATTAAATACCCTGCCTTCTTACAGAATAATAAAGGAATGCAAGTTTGGAAGAACATGGTAGATGAATTCTTCAAAACTGTCAAATTATGCCAGGTGTGGCAGCACATGCCTGTAATTCCAGCACCTGGAGACTGAGACAAGAGAATCATTCCACGTTTGAGACCAGCCTAGGCTACAAAGTGAGGTCAAGGCCAGCATGAACTGCATAGTGAAACCCTGTCTCTAAAAGAAACAAAAAGAAAAACAAAAAAAAATTGGAGCTTAGCATAGGTAATTTAGCAAGACCCTGTCTCAAAACAAAAATGCGAAAAAAGGCCTGGGAATGTAGCTCAATGTGAAGTCCCTAGACTCAATCCCTAGTACTGCTAAATAAACAAGTAAGTCTTGTCTATAAGTCATATCCCTCTACGTGTAATTGTCACAATACAAAAACATGAACAGGGGCTGGGGATTTAGCTCAGCGGCACAGCGCCTGCCTGGCAAGCGCAAGGTCATGCGTTTGATTTCTGGTACCGGAAAAAAACAAACCAAAAAAAAACCATGAACATAGCACTTTTCTGTCAACCACAAGTTTAAAGTACTTGCTGTTAAGATAGATGGCATATTTAAATATTACAGCATCACACAGATTTTACTCAGTTCAAAAATGCATAAAATGGGTGTGGTGGTACATGCCTTTAATCCCAGCACTCAGGAGGTTGAGGCAGGAGGATTGCCATGAGTTTGAGACCATCCTGGGCTACATAATGAGTTTGAGGCCAGGCTGAACTGCAGAGCAAGATCTTGTCTCAAAAAATAAAAAAATTAAAATTAAAAAAAAATCATAAAATGTCTGCAAAAAAGGCAACAGCATGCTAAGTTAATTAAAGTACTTGAGCACCAATGTTCGTATCTTGTACTAGGATACAGAAGTTCATTATCAGATGTCAAACTGCCTCAATTCATACAAACAGTTTATAAAATAGTTCATTAAATTCTGCCTCAATCTGTCAGCTTCACCCAAAAAGGAATAGAACCTTCTCATTTTATGTATTATTAGGAGAAAAGAGTCAGGTACTAATAACCACCTATATGCAACACTGTCATGGATGGCAAGTAAACATTAACTATGTGATAATTCCAACATACAGAGGTTCTTATCTCGTTTACAAAACAACAATAGAAACCTGTCACTGTAGAGTTGTCACTTAGTCACTTGGTGATCTGAGAGATCTGAGGCAGCTGCAGTGTTTGTTTGCTGCCTGTGCCTATGACTCACTCAGAAAGGCTCTCCCAAGAATGCTAGGTGTTTGAGAGCGCAGAAACCATAGCTGGGGCACATAGAGAGGGAAGTGTCAGGACAGTGAATGTGCAAAAGGGGGAAAGAACTCATGACAGAATTTTTTTTAAAGTTTTATAAAAAGCAAGTCACTCAAAAGGCAGACTTTTCTGTTGAATAACAGGATGGGTTGGGAAAAGCACTCCTACCTCTGAGAAGTCTTCCTTGGCTCCCATGGTTGGACTCAGTATATTTCTTATATTTCAATAAGCCTAAGTGGTTTGCCTGGCTCCTCCAATAGATTCTACACAGCCTCAGACCAAAAGCTGTCTTATCTTAAAAACATTAATACCTCCTTCCCCAAATGCCTAGCATGTATATAGTACAGAGCCTTTTAACAGGTGTTTCATAGAATTCAAATAATCTTATATTTATCTTTTATTTTATATAACACATTCATAAACATCACCTCTTTTGATCCACAAAACAATCTTGTGAAAGGGAATTATTAACTAAATGGCTTCTGATAAAAGTGATTAATTCGGGGGTTGGGGATTTAGCTCAGTGGCACAGTGCCTGCCTGACAAGCACGAGGTCGTGAGTTCGATTCCCGGTACCGGGACAAAAAACAAAACAAAACAAAACAAAAAAAAAAAAAACAAAAGTGATTAATTCACTAAAACCCCCAAATCACAAAGATAATGATATAGTTCTGCATCTCTGAGATAGCCTTTTGGAACCCCAATAGTGTCAAACAACTAGGGCTCTGCTAGCATTTTTCTTTTTTTTCCAGCTTGCTTTTCCTAGTAGGGAGCAATCACACAGCTCTGCGTCTTACCAAAAGGCTTAAAGCACCTAGAGTGATGCTGGACACAGGCATTCCGGAGATCAGAAGTTAAGCAGCAGCATCCTAAGCTATTTTTCCTGATCTTGTTCTTTTCCTAAAGTCGAAATGGTGGAAAGTGAATGATGTCATAGATGTCATGGAGTTGCATCAATACCTGATGATGATTTAGCACAACAACCCAACTTATGCCAAGAAACATAATGTCAAACCACCAGGCTATTTTACTGCATTAATTTAATGGCTCTTTATTAGCACATTAATATGTGAAGAACGGCTCTCTAATTTCTTACTGTTGACTGAAGTTTACATCTTTAGCAAAGACACTAAGTAAACCTACAGATTTACATGAAAATGCTTTAAGAAAAGGAAAAAATGGTCAAAGAGCTAGGTAATATTAAACTAAATAGCTACTATTTCAGCAACTGAAACCTTTTTCAAGTGCACAACATGCCTCTGGATTAATGTGTATTAAATATAAACTGGGTTTATCAAAAGCAAAGTTACAGAGAACAGGACGACAACACACAATAGATAAGACACCCAATCAGATTATACACACGAATAACTCAAAGTTAGGAATTTGACAGTCACTATTTACTGTAAGAGCTACAGACTGAACTCTAAATGATGGCATTTCTTCCTAAATTTTTCTTGTCCCTTTAAATCCATGATGTCATCATTCTTTAGCACAACCAGAACCAATTCGTTACAAAAGGTATTTGGCGTTTCAAGCAAAAGCAAGGGTCTCACCGTTTCCTCATAGCGCAATCTCAAAGCAAACCTTAAGGAAGAAACCACAAGGCTTCAAACCGGCTTCCCTAACCTGAATTCAAATGCTCCAATTAACAACTATAAGTTGTTCTCAAAAAACGAGTAACAAACACAGTATAATGTCGCTGCCAGCAAGAGAGAGCTGGTAATGTACCTGGAGCGTCATTTAGATCGGTCCGAATACCACCACAAAAAAAAAAAAAAAAAAAAAAATCCAGACTTTGGCAATAAAGAAACGAAGCTTTTATTTTCCTAATAAAAGTCAGAAGGTCCAACAAAGCAAGCAGTTATTCCCAGGTTTAACAATCCAAAAGGTTCAAACACACTCCATTGGCGCTGAAGTTTCTCAGCAGAGACTATCAAGATCTCTAAATTGTGTTTTCTTCATTTACAAATTCGTTCCCACCCTCCACTGTTCCTTTGCACAAACAATTCTCAACAGGAAAACCCGTCCTCGGTCACAAACGTGGATCGCTGTCTCAAGCAAGGAGATCCGCAGTTCCCACTTCTCTAAGGGAACGCTCAAAAAAAAAAAAAAAAAAAAAAAAAGCTACGGGTTAGGAAAGGCTGCTTGTGTCTTATTCTGCGAGCCAATTCCAAAACCAACCCTTTACAGCTGCAGCTTGAGGGATGCTGGCCCTCGCCGCAGCCCCCATTTGGGAGGGCACCAGCCTCCTGCTCCTCTCGCGAGCAGTTAAGGGCTGGGGGCGGGGGCAGCAGACTGAAACACTGACACCCCTAAATCCACCCCATCGCCGGCCACACACCTCTTCGCAGCCGGGGCGAGGGGAGAAGAACCGCCCCGCTAATGAGAGCACAGGTCCGTTCCCATCCCCAGGGCTGGCTGGGAAGGGGCTCTGCTCCTCCCCGCCTAACCCAGGGGAGACCGAGAAGGACGACAGCAAGGCCCTGAGACTCGCCAGGACCGACCCCCTCTCAGGATACCCGGCCTGCGCCGGATCCAAGGCGCCCACCGCACCCGGGGTATAAAGGGCAAGGGGCGCCGGCTGCTGGCCGCGGCCCCGGGAGGAGGAGAGGCCTCACCTGGCCCGGCCCGCTCCACGTTCTCGGGTTCGCTCCGCTGGTGAGAGTGGTGAGGGACCCCGGGGCAGGACCAGACCAGAGGCACTTCGCCCCAGGCCGCGTCTGCAGTGCTGGGGAGTCCTCACAGCTGCCAGGACCCCGAACCACCCGGAGCCGCCATCTTCCTCCACTCAAACGCCGCCGCCGCTGCTCGGCTCCGGCCAGAAGACAGCACTGAGCGCGCATGCGCAGGGCCACGGCGCGGAGGACGCGCACGCACTCACGTCAGCGTGACGGGTCGACGAGTGACGGCCGAAGGGCGGCGCCATGTTGAGAAGGGCCGACCTTTCCCGGAGGTTTGAAGGCATCCTAGGGCAGGGAAGCTTCCTAAGAGCTAACTTCAGACTCCGTCCACCCTCGGCTTTACTGGCAGAGGCAGCTGGGAGGTTTCCCCAATGATTTGAGACTAAGACGTCTAGAAATTAACCTTATTTCCAAGGGCCCAGTGAACACAGAGGAGGGCTGTGGCTTGTGGAAGGATCCATGGATATCTCACTGGCTTGGTTGTACAAGCGATGCTTCTCTCAACTGTAGCAACCAGTGTGTGAACTGCTACTATATTCCCCTCGCTTTCTGCCCTGGGGATTCAACCCGGGGCCTTTGCACTGAGCCACATACCCAGCCCTTAGTTTTTATTTATTTACTTTGGTGCTGGGAATCGAACTCAGGACCTTGCACACGCCTGGCAGGCACTTGTGCCGCTGAGCTAGATCCCCAACCCGCGACCGTAATTTCTGAGACAAAGCCTCACCGGGTCACTTAAATTTCCCAGGCTGGGCTCGAATTTGTGTGCCTCCTGCCTCAGCTTCCCACAATGCCGGGATTACAGGCATGTGCCACCATGCCTAGTTTACTAGCTCCATTTTTCAAATGAGGAAATTTAGGCGTAGAACCACTCACCTGCCAATGAGAGGAGGGGCTTTCCTGGTTTCCAAGCTCCTATACTTCCCATTATCACTATTACCAGGAGATGGGGGCCGGCCAAATCCCCCTTCAGGGGAGCAACTTTTGGAACCCATCCCCACAGCATGTGATCTAAGGATATGCCAGGGATACAACGCACAAGGGCTTCAGTCTTTACCTCCTGGACCTAGCCCTGGAGCAAACTTGGGCTGCCAACGGACTGCCATAGTAGAAGGTGGCCCTCCTAGGGCCTCTTGGGAGATAGGGCCCGATCAGAAGCCAAGTGCTGCTGGGCCTTGTGGTGCAGTCTGAAACCTCAGGTATTCCAGACCCAAGGCAAAAAGATCATTTGAGTCCAAGGGTTCAAGATCAGCCTGGGCAACACAGACTGCATCTCAAAGATAAATAAAACCGGGCTGGGATTTAGCTCTGGCACAGCGCCTGCCTAGCAAGCTCAAGGTCGTGAGTTCGATTCCCAGTACGGGGAAAAAAAAAAAAAGGTAAGTAAAACCCCTCTGCAGGTCTGAGCGAGCTTCACTCTAGAAAGGACTTATGTTCTTCCAGGAATAATGCCAGGACCCCTGGGAATACATTCATGGCATCGAAGTATGAGAAACTTTAAGGAATTACAATCTTTCAGTTAGGAAATATGGCCAAATGTGGTGGCACATGCCTGTAATCCCAGCACTCAGGAGGCTGAGGCAGGAGGATCGCTGCAAGTTTAAGTGCAACCTGGGCTACCAAGTGAGCTCAAGGCCATCCCCAACTGCATAGCCAGATCCTGTCTCAAAAAGACCAAAAAAAAGAAAAAAGAAAAAGAAAAAGAAAAAAAAACCCTGCAGGTTCCAAGGTTGACCTCAGTCTACTGCCTCAGAATTTTTCTAGAGCTTCCCAGGGATACAGGTGTCCAGTCAAATCTGAAGCTAATTTTAGAACAGATTGCGACCTTGTGTCTCCTATTTCAAAGATGACAGGGATTTTTGTCTTGCTTACTGCTTTGTCACCAGCACCTAGTATAGAGACCATAATGCACTGGGGACTCCATAAATATTTGTTGAATGAAAGGATAAACTGGAGAACTGGCTGTGGTGGCACATATCTATAATCCTGGCACTTGGGAGGGTCACTTCCAGTTTAAGACCCGCATAGGCTACATAGTGAGTTCAAGGCCAGCCGAAACTACCTATGTACTGAGATCTTGTCTCAAAAAAAAAAAAAAGAAAAACGAGTGAACTGGAGCTAGACGTTGTGGCACATGCTTGTATCCTGATTGCCCACTTGGTGGAGCAAAAGCTTTTTCTTTTTATTTCCAGTATCCTCAAATGATTTCTAACGTTTAGATTGTTCTGGTCTCCTTGAACATTCAGTCTCAAGAACGCCCTACTCGAGCCTTTGTTCAGGACCAGGACAGTATAGCAAAACCGTAAGAAACTATCTCCCCCTGCTGGTCATTCGAGGTCAATACAAAGCCTAAAACTACTGTGCTATAGCTAGTTTTTTAGTTAGCTTTAGGAAGAACTAACCCCACCCCAAAAACAAGGCTTTGGTTGATGTTGGACAGTTTCATCCACCTTGCTGTCACCAGGACTCAGGACCATTCACTTCAAAGAATGTGTTCTCAGAGAATGTATTCCAAGTAAATATTGTCTCAGACAAGGAACAAGATGAATCCTTCATCCTTCGGTGCTGGTGAGGCAGTTAATAGAAATAACTTGAGTTTCAAACATAGAAATTTGAACCTCTAACGCTCTTTTCTCATAGAGATGTCAATAACAAGCTTAACTTTATGAGTAAGAATTGGAGCCAGGTGTGGTGGCACACATCTGCAATCCCAGCACTCGGGAGGCTGAGGCAAGAAGATCCTTGCGAGTTCGAGACCAGCCTCCGCTACAAAGTGAGCTCAAAGCCAGCCTGAACTGCATAGGGAGACCCTGTCTCAAAAAGACAATAAATAAATAAATAATCTTTAAACCGGGCATGGTGGCGCACACCTGTAATCCCAGCACTCAGGAGACTGAGGCAGGAGGGATCATTGAGAGTTCGAGGCCAGCCTGGGCTACAAAGTGAGTGCAAGACTAGCCTGAACTGTATAGTGAGACCCTGTCTCAAAAAGACAAAAAAAAAAAAAAAAAGAGAGAGAGAGAATTGGAAACATTAGGTTAGTTCAAGGCTAGAGATAAACTTTGGGAATCTTCCGCTTATGAGGGTGGCTCATACTATGAGAATCTAGGTAAGAACAATGAACTGTGAACCTGGGTATGGTGGCACATGCCTGTAATCCCAGTACTGACAAGGCTGAGGCAGGAGGATCACCTCAAGTTCAAGGCCAGCCTCGGCTACATAGTGAGTTCAAGGCCAGCCTGAACTACATAGTGAGATCCTGTCTCAAGAAAACAAACCAAACCAACAAACAAAAAACTAAAGAACAATGAACTGTGCATAGACCTGGAGATGAGTCATATTTCAGAGACAGAAAAATCATGAAACAGGGCCAGGGATATAGCTCAGCAGCACAGCGCCTGTCTGGCAAACGTGAGGTCCTGAGTTTGATTCCTGGTACAAAAAAAAAAAAAAAAAAAATCATGAAAGAGAGCATTAACAAACATGTCACTTTCATTTCTCAGTAAAACCAGTAACATTTAGCACATGGTAATAATTCATAACATTGCTAAGAATACAAACTGCAAAATTTCACAACAGAAAGCTTACTTTATAAAGATGAGGGGCTGGGGATTTAGCTCAGCGGCACAGCGCCTGCCTGGCAAGAGCAAGGTCGTGAGTTCGGTTCCCGGTACCGGAAAAAAACCAAAAAAAAAAAAAAAAAAAAAAAAGATGAATGACATGGTATAGACATGGGAAAAAGCATTGCAAGTCGGATAACTTGATTATAGCAGCCAAATGTGACAGCATCAAGTGCCATGTTTTTAATAGTGAGAGATCTGCAGAACACGTCTGCAAGAATAAAAACATATGGTCTTTGCTTCCTCTTCCTTTATGTTTGGGGAAAGAAAAGATGAGCGGAGGGGTGAAGATTACAGATCTTCTCAGGCAAGCAGGACACCACCATAATAACGACAGCAAACCCTCATCATTTTTCTATGGGTTAACACTGGTCTATGCTTTTCAGCACAGTAACCTTATGTCAGTCCTTACTCTACATTAGAAGTAGCTGCAATTATTATTACCTCTATTTTTTATGCTTGGGGAAACTGTGGCACAGAAGCTGTATACAACATACAAAACAATCAGAGAGCCTGTTCAAATCGGAAGTACCTAAAGTTGAACAATAAAGTAAAAGGTTTCAGCTGGGGATATAGCTCAGTGCCACAAGTGCTCGCATAGCAAGCACAGGGTCCTGAGTTCGATTCCCAGTACCAAAAAAAAAAAAAAAAAGTCCAAGGCTTCAGGGGCTGCGCTTGGTGATGCACACTTGTAATCCCAAAACTCAGGAGGCTGAGAATGGAGGATCACCTGAGTTTGAGGCTGGCCTGGGCTACATAAGAAAGTTCAAGGCCAGCCTGCACTATGTAGTGAGACCCTGCCTCAAACAAAACAAAACAACAACATAAAGTTCAAGGTTTCCACTTCAATAGTGAAAGGAAGTAATACAGGAACACCATAGAGGATGAAGCATAATCAACTTTTTTTTTTCTTTTTGAGGCGGGGTCTCCCTATGCAGTTCAGACTGGCCTTGCGCTTACTTTGTAGCCCAGGTGGGTCTGGAACTCATAGCAATCCTCCTGCCTCAGCCTCCCAAGTGCTGGGATTACAGGCATACACCACCACACCTGGTCCACAATCAGTTTCTAAAGGTAATACTAGTGTATTTGTCATTAAATTTTAGTAGCTGGGAACTGTAGTTGTCTTAGCTCTGGTATTATTATCAACTCACCATAATTCTTTTCATCACATTAGAGGATATAAAGTACTGTTAGATGGATAGAATAGTGCTTTATAATCAGGAAATATTGTAATCATTTTCACTTTATCAGAAATAATGTTTTATACACTCAGATATTTTTCATCCTTTGCTGAGATATAAAAATGTTTTGGGGGGCTGGGGATTTAGCTCAGCGGCATAGTGCCTATCTGGCAAGCATGAGGTTGTGAGTTCGATTCCTGGTACCGGAAAAAACCCAACAACAACAACAAAAATAAATAAATAAAAATAAAAATGTTTTGGGGCTAGGTGTGGGGGCACACGACTATAATCCCAGCATTCGGGAGGCTGAGGCAGGAGGATCGATGCTAGTTTGAGGCCATCCTGGGCTCCATAGTGAG